TTTTTTTGGGCGCAGGTACACTATTGTATTTTGCTACATGGCCTCTCAATTTTTTGATTTCAACATGAAGTATATTTTGGATTATTAATATATATATTTTTTTGTTTGTTGATTTGTGGAATTTATACAAAATAATAGATTATGAACATCAACATGAATATGTATGTTTCTTTTGTTATCACTCTTTTTTTGAAGATGTTGGGATTTTGAGTATAAAGCTATAGATCGACTATAATTACATTCTATGATTCACTTTTATATATCATTAATTTTTAGGCAATCGTAGCGTGCAAGATTTATTAGGCACATTATTTCTATAATGTGCAATTAATCTTGTACTATAGTGCAACATATTATGGGCTAATGTGCATCTACATTTATTAGGCACTTTATTTCTATAATGTGCTATTAATCTTGTACTATGGTGCAATATATAATGGGCTAATGTGCATCTGCACGATATATATTTTGTGCAATTTAAGTTCAGAGATGGGCTAATGTGCATCTGCACGATATATATTTTGTGCAATTTAACTTCAGAGATTGCCTTTAAGATTTAGATTATGGATTCGAGTTCAACTACAGTTATGTTTTAAGGTGGTTTTATTTTTCTTCTCATAGATAACATATAAAACTATTTACATTATTTTGGTAAATTTTCTGAGCTTTTAATTTTAAATGTTTAGACGATGGAAATTCTATAATTTCATAAAAAATATGATTGCATTTTAATGTGCACATCTAAGACGAGGGTTGCACCACCACACGTGTTGCACCATGCCGCTATGATTTATTGTTAAGCTAAGGTGCATTATCTTATACAATAATGTGCATCTTGTCTTACACTATTGTGCATTTGTAGTGCGAGTTTTTTAATATCCACACACAATTTTGTGCATTTAGCAATTTTTTGAAAAGTTACATATTTAACCCATGAAATAAATTGCAATATATGTAAAATTTTTCAAATTGCAGATAAGTCCCTATAACTTATATAATATTCAAAGAAAGACCCATAGTCCCAAATTAGAGACTGGAGTTTCCCTGCAAGAAAACCTCCATGTCTAGGGCCCGGCTTGATTTAATTCTCCAGGCTGAGCGTCTCCTCGACCAGCAAGACACTAGTGGGGCCCCCTTTGTGGCGCGCTTGATACCAACTGGAGAAAGTTGGGTGAGGGATCATTGGTTGCAGGTAATGCTAATGTAAACCGCTTGCTTTTCTTCAGCGGTTGAAATCACCGTGTCGATCAACTCATGGGCAACATCCAAGTGATTCACATTGTGTTGGCCTATGATTGTTCCAGTCCAAGATTGCATGTAGATATCATCACCATCATCCATATTTACATAGCTTACGATATTTATTCCCTTCTCTCCTCTTTCGAGTTTCTCCAGCAACTGGAAACTTACTTCGAGGGACTGTACAAAAATGAGATAACCTCTAGATAATTAACTGATTCATTTAGATCAATGAATCCAACATCGATTCACAAAAAGTAAAGAAGGTTACACCGCACAAGGTTCATCATTTATCCAATTCATCCACAACCAATTTTATGCCCACAGAAGTATAAAAAATTACGATCATAATAGCAATTATTTGGGCGAACCAATTGCGACAATTTAAAAGAAATTTCATGCAAGGCATTGCTGAAAATCAACATGTCGTAAAATTTTCTTTTCCTCCATAGGAGAAGACCATAACTAGCAAATATTGGGCGCACGATATGCACGTCAAAACACTGATCATTTTGAATCAATTGATATTTTCATAAAAAATACAAACCAGAAACAACTAATATCAAATTAAATAAACTGCAACACATTGACCTCAACAAGTAAATTTATCACCAAAGAAATGAAACATTCAACAAAAATCCAACTAAAGCACAAAACACATTCAGAAAATCAAGCCAAATGAAAATGCCACCACTGCACAGAGTAAGGGTTTACCTCCCAGCCACGAATCCCAAGGCGAAGTAGACTGCGAAGATAAAATTCCATGCGCATTTGTCGATCCCAACTTTACTTGAAACGATCGAACATCATTCGATTGAACATCAATCAATTATCGCAGGCGTAACCATTTGCTTCATACCCGACATCCAGCCTCTGGTCGATGCTGCAGGTAAGAGGCGGGGGTGGTGGATAATATGGCCGATGTTGGCGGCAAGGAAACCGACTTCGTGGAGGAGGCGTGTGGCCGCGGGGACCACGAACGAGGCGGTGGCGGCGGTCAGCAGCTCTGGGAAAATGGGGAGCTCATGGGCGGTGATACCAAAACCAAGTGAAATCTGGTCCGCCGCTAATCGGATTGTATTTTGCCTAGCTGTGAAATCCCCAATTTTCGCCGGCAATGGAGCCCTAAAACGGCCAGAGAAAATCAGTTGGCAGTAGATGCCCTAATTAACCGATTGACGGTATGCTCTATCGACGTCAACGTCTGTGGAGGTGGATGCGGCGACGCCGGCGCCGGCTGAGATGGCACAGAGGACCGAAAATTGCGGTGTGAATGGTGCTGTAGACGACATAGACGATTGGGAGAACTTTTTTCTCTGATAACCAATTCTAGTTGCTGACCACACGAGAACGCTATTTTGTTGACGTAGACGACACTGAAAACGGCGACATCGGCGTGGATTCCGTAGCAGACGACTGCGGCGGCGCTACGGTCGTGCTGTAGATGGCACCATAGACGATTGTGGCAGGATTCTTTGCCGGTGATCTCGGGCCTCCGGACGAGCAGGTGATTGACGAAGTCGAGGTGGCATATGACGGCGACGACACGGCGTGGCTAGGCGGTGAAGTAGGTGGT